ACAACACGTCAAGAGGGGTGGCGTAGAGCTCGACGGGTCGGGGCGGACAGCCGGACGTCTTGCCGATCTCGCGGCCAAACAGTATCGACAGACTGACCGCCGAGAAGACACACATCACCAGACGAAGGATCGTGAGGAAGGGATCCCTGTATATCAAGATCTGCGACCGCAACCACAGTAGCCACAGGTGTCTGAAGAAGGGATACTTATGAACGGTCAGCGCCGACAACAGGAGCCGCGAGTCTTGAGTGGTGAGCCGCTCGAGACGGTCGGTATCGGTGTCGGCCACGTCTACCAACTTCTTGATAGGCGTCGGACCGAAATCGCCGGCCGCTATCTCTATGATGAAGTCGGCGGGCGATGTGTACGGATCGCACGCCACGTCCACCCGAGCCATTGTCGGCACCAGTTGTCGGGGCAAACCTTGTATAGAGTGAATAGTGTGATAATTATAGCCATAAAGCACCATGATCCCACTATAACTTACCATGGTAAATGCACTTTCCTTTGCTGGTCAGAATGTAAATGCTATGAAAGGCGTTAAAAAGGGCGACCGACGGCTGATGAATAGTGGCCACGACTGCCACCGGACTGGTCTTATTGGCGGCCAACTCGTGCAGTATATTCAGCACATGAGTACATGAGGGCGAGTCGAGTCCAGTGGTCGGTTCGTCCAGAATCAAGATATTGGGCTTTGAGATGATCTCCAGAGCGATGGACAGCCGCTTCCGTTGACCACCGCTGCAACGGTTGACACGGGTTTCGCTGATCTTCTCGAGACCGAACCGATTGATGGTCTTATCGGCGATCGAGTTGTGCTCATAACCGGACAGCTTATGGTTAATGAGCTTTGAGGCGAACACCAGTGTCTCTTTCACTGTCAACAGTTCCAGCAGATAGTTGTCTTGCGGTACGAAACCGATCTTCACTTCATCCACGCCACGGATCCGCACCTCACCGACCACTCCGCGCACTCGACGTCCTATTGGTTAAACATTTTATAGTAATGTCTCAACTAATTTACCCTAATTAGATATACGTTAATAGTTTAAACAAGCAAAAATAAATGTTTATATCTGTAATACAGTTGATACAGTAAATACAAATGCATATTAACGTATAGCTTATACTAGGAACCGGCAGAATTTTTATTTCTAATGAATGATGATACATTATAAAGCTTACTATTAAACTAATTATTACCTACCCTTGAAATATAAGTGAATGGTTTTAAAGCGTAAATCATTGGTATTTAATATAAATATGAATCACAACTTTCATTAAACCCTACCACTTATATTAGTGTACATTATATTTGACTAAAATACTATTTTGGCCCCTAGATTGGCCCATAGCCTAGTACTAGCTTATACTGAAATAATTAGGGTAAACACAAAAAACAATTGTATAATAAATACCGCATATAATCTCGAGTAGCGTAGACTTGCCGGCGCCGGACGGGCCCATAATAGCGGTCACTTCGCCGCTCCGGAAGTGACCGCTTATGTTATGCAATATATTGGTGCGAATCTGCGCCGGGAAGAGGAGATCCTTTAACTTCTTGGGTATATTATAGCTGAGGTTATGCCACAACACCTCAAACTGTTGCATATCGGAGGGCAAGTGAACGGCCGGCTGTTGATAGACAGGCTTTTCGGACACCGGTG